AACTACGCAGATAATGTAGTGGTGGGTGATTTGGCTTTGCTTTTACCTGCACCTACAAAAATAAAAGTGTTTTTTTTTTTTCCCCTTTCCTGTGTCTGGAAGATTTCTGGGTCAATGATATGAAGAGAAAGGTTTCCGGACCTTAAGTCTGGCTGTGAGAATATGGATAAGAAAGGAGATAAAAGTGAGATAGTAGAGAACAGAGAATTGGCAAGGCATGACAATGAGAAAGATGGGGTTGTAGTACTTAAGCTCCACTTGAAGTTTAAATACATGTAGCCCTGCTGAGAACATGCTGGTACCGTTGTTGCCCCTTGTTATAACTCCAGCGCAGCTTGGCCCTACAGCTAAAAGAGGAAAAAACATACGATATTTGCTCTACTGCCTCTCCTCCTTCTTATACAAATGTCCACTTTCCATTCTTACCGCAGGGTGGTGAGAACAGGGTCTGCCAGGTTGTTAGTGTTCCATGTTATCCTTATATGCCATGGGAAAGAAATTGGCAGCAGTTTATCATCCTCCCCAATTGTACGTGGAAGATCTTGGCATGCTTAGCGCAGTGAGCCATGTAAGCCATATCTTCACTCTTTGGCATCTAATGCATTATATTTTGACACAACTTATATGGAAAATACTCTTCCATTTCAGCAAGTATGTCTACCAAGAATAATGAATTTGCATTTTAACTTTCTTGATTCTGGCTTCTGTGTAGGCAATGGCCATGTCAGTTCTGTTATTTGCTGTTTTTGCTTTATATCCGCTGGAAGATCAGAAGTTTTTGTTTTCATTGAGGGCACAGATTTTTTGTCTTTAGCAGAATGCGTATTTCTGATCTATTCATGTAAATTTGGTGAGGTGATTATCTAAGCCTTGAATTATCACAGGGATACAACTCTCGGTGAGCTCTGGATCATGCTATGGGAATTCTTTAAAAGTGCGCGGGAGCCCTGTCAGCGGCTCCGATACGTTTGGAAGCAAAGCTGTTGTGTTGAGTGGAGCCGCATGCTGCGCTGACCTTTGGCCTTTGTGGATGGGCAGCAGCGCTGGTGTCTGAAAGCTGATGCGTGGGAGAACACAGGTGACGGCAGCCTGGGTGGGCTCTGCCGGTAGCATCTCCTGCGTGGCAGTAGTAAGTGGGAGCAGGAGCCAGCTGGTGAGGTTCGCAGGTCTCTCCAGGCTAAGTGAGCTTTCATATCGTTCCGCCCTCTCCAGAGTGGTCTGTGTAAAGAGTCCCTGACAATCTGCTGATGACTTGTAGTTTTGTAACTACGTGAAGAGCACTCAAGTAAACAGAAGCAAAATCAACTTTGGCCGAAACACTGAATCTTTACTGTGTAAGGTAGAGTAGTATTATAATATCACTGACAAATGCCTGATTTTTCCCCCTTTTTCCACTAGTTTTACTTTGGTGGAAAATTAAACTGTAAATACAGCTCTTTGGATTGGACTAAGGTTCCATGTGGCATAGCATCCTCTCTCTGGCAATTGAGCAACCTCAACTCAACTGAGCAAAGTTGGAGTGCTGCTTCTGTCATCAATTCCCTTGACACCTTCTGAGCTGTATTCAGAGTGTAGTATGTATTAGGATTGTTCCGGGGTCAGTACCTGCCACCAAAGCAATACTATTAACCAAATCATACCAAATGAAACTATGAATTGGTGTGAATTGGCATATCTCTGTTGGTTTGCATGGAATTATACCACTTAATGTCATCTGACCTTCTGATATCTTTATTTAATTCCTGTTTTTCTTTCCCTGCGCCTCCTATATCCTGCCTTGATATTTTAATCAGATCAGAGATTATATTGCTAGGATAGTTTTATTTACTTTCTGTGATTCACTGGACAGCTCTCTGAAACCAAATGAATGTAGTAACTTTGCTTATGTTAGCTCTTACAGGAAGCTGTTAATATTGACCAATTATGACTACTAAATAATATTTTTATGAAAAGAACCTTTTTTTTTTTTTTTTTACTGAAATAAGCTTAGCGTAATATTGAATTCCATTGTTGTCTAGCGTGTAAAAGGTGTATTTTCATGAAGACAATTCAAAAAAATTGAGCAAACCCTTATCACTCTGATGCTTTGAAGCACTTCATGGAAGGGACTTAAGCCGTTTAAAGTCAGGATGTAGGATTTTTGTTCAGGGAAGTCTCTTTCCTATACTTTGGCTGAATAACCTTTTTGATGAGATAAAACATCTCATCACAGTAAGAACAGCGTGTGTCCAGAACGCTATACTGTTTTTGGTCTCTAGTACGCTGTGCCCCTAGTTTTTGGGAACAGCAGCAAAAAGGCATGTGGTAGATAATTTTAGGTAGAGCCAGAAAGTCTGCAGTGAGAGAGTTTCTTTCATGTAACATCAAAATAAAATCTTTACATACATTGGTATCTTGGAACAGTGGAAGTGTGGAACTTAATGGAGCATGGCTAAATCTATTTAAAAGAAATTTCCTGATTTCAAGGAAAACTAATCTAAGGTGCAAACCTGGGCACTTCTTACAAATTTATCTGAAAGGGAAGTAAGAGCATTTTAATTGCCTCTTTTGTCTAGTGAAAATTAAGTGTTCAGTGGTCAGCTCAGTGCAGTCTATTTGCAAAATCCTCCTTGGCAAGTAATTTTGAATAACTAATGAATTTGCAAACAGAAACACCATAAATCCAAGGAAAACTGGACATAAAGAAATCGGGCAATATTTGTTCCAGCTAATGTGTCCTGTTGCAGTAATGTCAGCTAATGTTTACTAAAGTATGTGGAGAAAACAGAAGTGACTTAAAATATGGAAGGAGATAGTTCAGAATGACTTTTCTCATAATAATTGAATAGCTATGGCATATTGATAAACAGTAGCTATAGCTGCATCCTTCTAAAATCTTGTGAATCTGTAAAAAATAGCATAGTGTGCTTGCTGCTAATTCATTGAAGATATTTGGAGTGATTAGAGCGGAGGCAGTCTTCCCAGTTCATATGTGTACATTACTGCTTAGCAAAAGCATAAGTGATTCAGTAAAAGCCTTTCAGGCTCCTCCCAGGATCTTGGATAGTTGTGATTTTGAGTATTGTTTTACTGCTTAAGCCTGACTAGTGCTGTGTAAAAGTAGGTCACTGAGTCACTTGAATCTAGCTATTGCTAGGCTAAGGAGGAAAAATTAAAATAAAGAGGTTTTTGCATCGCAGAGCCAGAATAAATTCTCACAGTAACTATTTTGTGTTCTGACAACTGCATCATAAAGAAGACCTAGCTGCATAGCAGAGTCACAGCAGTGTGGAGAGACAACTTTCTATCTTTTTACGTGCTTTTCCATAAACTTTAATGAAAAGCAGCTGCAAGAGGGAGTTGCTGTGGCATTCTTGTAAAGAGAACAAAAGCAGAAATATTACAGTATTCCACCACAAATGTAATCTACTCCTATGTGAAGTACTATAGGGAAAGGCTAGACTAATTGTCTTGTTATCTAGTCCATCAGCAGAAGGCAATGCATACCTTCATTCCTTGACTATAGCCAACAATAATCTCTGAGGTAGGAAACTTTGGAAAATGGTTATACACATGTGCTGCCTTTGAACACAGAATATAGGCAGTCTCAGTTAAACTGTATTTTCATCAAGCTGGCCTTTTTTGTTTTGAAAGTAGCAACTAATAAATCCTGTGCAAGATGGGGTGAGGAAGATAAGAGTTTTTTTTTTTGTCTGATTTGTAAGTTCTTGAACATTTGTTGTGGGTTCTAGTAGATAGTCTATGGAGTGATCAGTTTCAATATCTTTTGGGACTGCTAAATTCAGTTGTTATATATACATATATGTGTATCTATATATATATAGATAGATAAAAGGGCTTATAACAATCCAGGTAGTTAAAACTAGCCACTGTGAACACACACAGTTACATGACATTACTAGTTGTGTAACCAGAAGTTAAGGGTTCCTTATGTAGTATTCTGTGTAATAATGTGTTGATGCTTAATGCTGTTTTCTGTTTTTGTATGTCGTCAAAACTGTCAGCTTTGACAGTCAAAATTGTATGTAATCTATAGAAACAAGTCTGGTTAAAGGGGAATTAAGATAGTGTTTTTCTTCATGGGGCAGCTTTAAAGAAGCCATGTGTCTTTCAGGAAATCTTTTCATAACTAGAGGATTTACAGAGACTACTTTTTTTCTTCATGAGATGTGTCTGTTATCTTTTGAATAATAATTGGACTTTTTTTTTTTCATTCAGAGCATTAAGTATGCAGTCATCAGAAGCAGAATAATTTTCTTTAAATCAGAAATCTACATTGTATATTCCTCTACAGCTTATACTGAACCCACTGAAAGGAAAGAGGTGTAAATTCTAGAGGTCCTGCATCTGAGAGACTAAAGTGTTGTGTGTGTAGCCATCTTTGCAGTGCAGATTCCCAGACGAGTTTGCCAAGCCACACTTTGTTCCATTTTCCCGCAAGAATATTGTTCCCTGTATTCAGTATTCAAGATAGCTGCAGTCTAGATAGCAGACCACAGTGTAGTGCCACCTCCTCCTCCTTTCCTCCTTTTTTCTTTTTTCTTTTTTTTCTTCCTTGCATGAAATATTCTCAGCCTTCCCACTACCAATGTCCATTACAACTTAGGTGACTGTCATTCCTACTCATTTTTAGTTTACATGTAGCCTCTTAGTATATGTTATCTTCACAGGTCATGATTAACATTATAGGCACCAACAATCTTGTTTAGATTATACGTTACTTCAGTGGCACACTCTTTTAATACATCACCAAGAGAAATAAGAAAAATGCATTTAAAATAAAACTTTTTTTTTGGGCAATGGTAATTACACTATAATAAAGGAGAAGGAGTAAAAATAATTTAGAAAATTGCAAACATGGTAATTGCTAAAAGTCTATATTAACTTGTTAAATAAGAGAGGAAAAAAAAAGAAGCATCCTAATTTTTCATGTTTTCATGCTTTGTATACAGTACTGTTTCAGGCAGCTGCATTAAAATGGTGTCTGTCTCTTTCAGACAAGAGCAAGTCAGTGTTCTGTATCAGAACATACATATAGTGGAACCAAGACTAATCCAGCCTTATGAACATGTCATTAAGAACTTCATCCGAGAGATCAAACTTCAAAGCACGGAGATGGAAACCTTAGCTATTGCTGTGAAAAGGTATAGTAACTCATGTTTCTAGTTCAATTGCACAGTTACTTTTTCGGCCATCATACTTGGCTACATAGATTGCTGTGAGTTAGTGCCAAAAGGTGCCAAAATATGCTTTCTGAGCTTGGAAAATAGTTTATAAGGGCATGCATATGCATAAGTACGTATAGCAGGTGGCAGATGATTATTTATATTTTGGACCAGATTTTTGAAGCTCTGTTCATGTGTTTAATATATAAAATATTTTGGTTTGTCCTCCTTTGCTGCAACAGCAAGTTTTAGCATACATTCCCATTAAACTTCCATTTAACAAAGAAAACTTTGCTTCACCAGCTTCAGGGGATGTATTTTCCTATGGTAATTATTTGATATCTATGACCTTGCAATATCACTACCGAAACTAAACAGATTAAACCAGAAGGGTAGAGTTCTTTGTGTGGTAACGAAAGGTGCTGAGTTATCCTTTTGAAGTCTTTTCATAGAAAAAGCAGAAGGGGCCTTATGTCTCTGTAACTTAATTTTTTAAAAGCAGATGTGATTTATTTCATATCAAAAATCTGTTGTGTGCTATTATTTGAAAGCTAATTTGTCTGTATTTTCAAATCAGATTGTGATTTTTGGCTCCCAAATGCATTCCTTCCAAAGTCTGGGAAGCGTTCAGCTGTTTCTGTGTCTGTCTGTCTAATTTGAGCTTATGTAGACAGATGTGTTTTACACATTTTCTACGGAGCCAGAGAGTAATTCATAATCCTGTATTTACTTTTAAATTTTAGAGCTCAGGATAAAGCTGCAGTTCAGCTCAGTGAGCTGGAGGAAGAGATGGAACAACGGATACAGGCTGCAGAGCATAAAGTCAAAAAGGAGGTGTGTATTTTATGTTTAACTCTGTGGTCTTTGGAAGAGCTGATGATCAAGTGAATCTTTGATCCTGAACAAAGTGGTGATGTAGAGGAGTTTGTTTCTGAGTCTGGTATTGGAAGAAGACTTGGAACCTTTCGCCAGGAAAAAATGGAATTCATTTCTTGTACCAGCAGTAGATGGATTTGTGTAGAAATTAAAGCTCAGGTCATTTGTTCTTAATTTGTGAATTTGCCTAGAGCTGTGAGCTTTCTTTCTCCTATTCGTGCATTCAGATTCTGTAATTACATTTTCAAGAGCCATAAACAAGAGGAAAGATATTTTTGATGAAACTGTGTGAAAGTTTGAACCTCTTGAAGTTGATGGGAAACTTCTCTTACTTCAGTGCCCTGAAGTTTTAGGCATTGTTTCAGCCAACATGTAAACCTGTAGGCTAAGTATTTGAGTCCTCTTCCCTTATTGAAAGATATAGTCCAACCTCATACTGTTACTAAATTCAAATATGATAAACCTAACTTTATAATATGGAAAGAATAAAAATTCATGTAAAATGTTCAAACATGAACACAATAAATTATTATTGGTCTGGTAGGACACACAGTATACTGAACATTTTGATATGGATTCTTTAACCAAAGCATTTTCAGAATAAGCAGCAAAGTGTGAAGCAGCAGCAGCAGACTTTTTGGTTTTGAAGAGCTTACCATTAAACCCACCGATCAGTTGCTGCATTCGGATTAGTTTCACACTTCATCTTTTTTATACAGAGGAAAACATTCTTACGTAACATGAGGCAATTGTTTGCCTACAAAGAAAATATAATAGCAAAAAAAATGTTGATGTATCACTCTACGAAAAGCAGTGCATAATAATGTATTTAACTAATGATGATGCAATTCTCGGTTATATCTCAAATATACTTCCTGTTTAGAGAAACAGTAGGCGTTTATATTCAGAAAACAAATACATTTGTTTTGGAAAATGTCCTTTCTGTACAAAATGGTAAATAAATGAAACAAAATTGAAGAATCTTATACCGTACTGTAAAAAGATCAGTTGGAAATGTACATTAAGAACATGTACAATTTATGTACTAGCAATATGTAAAAAAAGTTCTGTGTGTTATGTGTTCGTATACAGTATTTTCCTGTTTTAAAAAGAATGCCTTGTGATTCAGTAAAATTCACTGTAGTCTTCAATTATTATACTAGTGAATGATCAGTTGTTTGGCTTGATGCACTTAAAGAAAAATAAATAAATAAAGGCAAGGGGGAGCCTGAAGCCTTCATCAGTTTAAGTCCTCAAATTGCCATTGACATGTGATTTGGTGTTTTCACCTTTCATGCCTAGAGGTAAATAAGGGAAGCTGTAACTTGTTTCTCGTAGGGCTCTCTACATTTTTACTCCTGAGTGTTCCATTTAGCTTATAGCTTCACTTACTCCACCTAGTAAAACACCCTGAGAGTAAATGTAAGATATTTACTTTGTGGGATTGTATTAAGATGTTAATCTAGTGCCTGTACTCAACACTATTGTTTGTCAGAATGATTTCATTCATGCAACTGCGACACCTTTCTCTTTGTGATAGTAACTGCAGATTGAGCATACCTATCCATGAACATGTGTGTGTATATATATTCTTTAAAAGAAGCAAATAGGTACCAAACATCTCACACATGAGCAATTTACACAAGTGTCAACAGAAAGAAAATCCAGCCTAAACTGATTACTTTGATTATAACACATTATATCATTATAACATAGGAAAGAAGTAAATTGTGAGCAAAGTCCATGTCTATCTGTCTGTTTCCTCCTGAAAACCTAACCTGTCTCATTGACAGCATGTGTTAGTGCAGAATACTGAGTTCTTCTATAGTGCAATTCTGTCCTTAAATACCCGGGAGTGAATGGAGCAAATTAAATGCATGCTCGTGCATAGCCCTGGGCACGTATCATTCTTTTATTATCAATTCAAAACTGTTCTGGGGGTAGCTTCCTTGTAAAATCTCTAAGTTTTGATTCAAATAAAACAATCACTGTTTTTAATATTTAGTCCAAGTCTACATGAAACCTCATTTGTTCAGGATACTGTCATTGGCTTACCTTTTACAAAGCTTTGGCCTATAATATTCGAACATTTACAAGGGGTAAATTTTAAAAGATAAAGAGGGATAAATAAATAACTGGTGGTGGTACAGTAATACTATTATCAGAATGTTGTATTTTGAACCATAGAAGGGTGGCCTTTTGTATATAAATACAAACATGGAAAATTTGAACAAATTTCAGTTTTCTGTAAGACATTGGGAATGCTAAGCACAAGAGAATATGACATAAGACAGTGATTTAACCATATGATTTCCTTTTGACTGCTTAATAGTTCATTGCTGTGACTATTTTATAAGTGAATACCAATAACAGTCAATATCTGTGGACCGTAAGAAAGGTGTCTATTGATCTAATGGAAAGACAAAATTACAGTAATAAACAAAGAGGAAAACATTGGCTTTTCAAATTGATCGGTGCATTTTTTAAAGAAATGTTTAAAACCTGTTTTGACTCTTAATAATGTAACATTACAGGAGAAAAGAAAAGCTGAAGAAGCGCTAAATGAACTGAAGCGCCAATATGATACTGAAGTTGGGGATCTTCAGGTGACAATAAAAAAACTGAAGAAGGTTAGTGGCTTAATATTGTAAGAATTGCTGACCTGATGAAGTGCCTTACAGAAGACGGATGGTCATAACTATAGCTTTTTAATTTAGCGCATATTAGCAATAGGTAACTTTTCAAAAAGAAGTTTTAGGTTGCATTAATAGTAATATTGCAATTATCTTTCTGCTATTTGTTATATAATAATGGTCTTATATATTGCCTCTTAAGCATTTGTAATTCATAGAACTAGGTAAAATTGGCAACGCCAAATATAGTAATGTGCTTATTATAGCAATGTAGTGTCTTTTGTCAAACAAGTGCAGTTCTCTCAATATTGGAAATGTTAGTGGTAGAGGTGTATTTAAACTGTAATTCCAAATTGAAATCAAAAGTAGAACAAGTTATTATTAATCTAAATTTAAGTCCATAATTAATTTTTCATTTAATATCTGGCCCTGTAATGTAAACTAACATCTCAGCCATGAATATCATTTGGGGTTATTTTGTAATCTAGTTTTAATTTTGTGTTTAGCTTCTGCTGTAAGTATTAGCAGCATCATAGTAACCACCGAGATCCTTATTAAATTACAGTATTAACAGAAATGAATAATCTCGAGAGAAATAATGAAAGCTTGTGTTACAAATGCTGTGAAAAATTGGCACTGATGTGGTAGTCTTTTTTTTTTGGTAGTGAGGGCACACCTGTTTATATAATAGTATTTAGCTTTTGTGTCACTAGTAACACAGAATAAATACTTCTAACAAATCTATGGCATGTAAAGAGCACGTTAGGTGTTTTAAAGAGTCACTTAAAAGTGAATTATGAAACTAGATTTTTTTTTAAGAGGTGATGCTTACTCATGCAATAGGGAAGTGTATGGATTTTAAAAACTTTCATAGCTGAATACATTTAGGGTTAATTTAATATAACATTAGCTACTTCTTATATTATTTGAATTGACACAGTCAAGAATATACCTTAATTGTTTATGTGTTAAATCTATTAGCTGGAGGAGCAATCCAAGAACATAAATCACAGAGAAGATGTGGTTGAGCTGAAAAAAAGGATGCATGATATGTTGCTGGTAAGACATGATATTCTTTAACATATTAGTTTAGCCTTGATGTTCAATACAGATTGTTCTTTCACATTTTGTCATGCTGTATTAGTGATGAAGCTAAGTAATATATTTTCTAAGTTATTGATACATGTGTGGGAATCTTCATCTTGAGCGGAAAAAGCTTCTGTGTAAATGGATACGCATTGCAGGTATAATATTTAAAATGGCTTGAAATTATAGAGTCTCATCTTTGAGTTGCAGAAATTGAAAAATCATATTCAGTAATGTTCTTAGATGCTAGATTATTGATTAGCATAATTTTGATGGTTTTTATTTTAGCATTACAAATGTCAACATTTTATAGAAGTGATTTGACAGCTAGCATCTAACTAAGGTCTTCCTTTTTTTTAAGGAAAATCAGAAACTTAAGAAAGATCTTTTAGAAGCACAGACAAATATAGCTTTTCTACAGAGTGAATTAGACAGTTTGAAAAGCGAGTATGTAGATCGAAGTTTGAACACTGAAAGGTAAGATACTTTTATCTGATATTTTCAACCCTGGAATAAATCTCGTATTTATTGTAGTTATTATGTACGTACTTGATAAATTCATTTTCTTAATTTTCCATAATTGACAAGTATGCATATTGACAATGTGTAGAGTACACCATAACCACAGGTCTCTTAGGTTATAAAGGCTCTGAAAGAGCCTTGGCATATGATATAAACATATGATGGCATATGATATAAACTCTTGGGTATGGCATATCCATGGCATATGATATAAACTCTCATAATGATAAGCACACTAATTTTATTGACACTTCAGTTAGGAGTGGATGAAAAATTCTATGAATATCAGCGAAAATAAAGTTTGAAAGCCTCCCCCCTCAGTTTCAACCATATTTTTCTGAAAGCAAACAAGAACTGCTTCTATATACTCATATTTGTTTAATGGTATCTGTACGACAGTTTCATGATTCTATGAGATCAATGAATTTATGAAATTGTTTTCTTCTGCATAAAATGTTTTTAAATATATTTCAGCAATCTTAAATGTAAGATGAAAAAAAAAATCTTAAAACATTACATTTTCTCCTACAGTATATTCACTGCCTTTCAGAAATATTGACTATTGAGTTTTGTCCTCCGTAAAAGCATAATAGTATTAAAAAAAGTAGAAGGACCTTTGTAAAGAGTAACTTTTTTTTACAGAGATCTAGAAATGATCCGAGAGTATACTGAAGACAGAGATAACCTGGAAAGACAAATTGAAATACTTCAGTAAGTTAACAATAATTCATACATTTTTAACAGATTTTCTCCCAAGCTGTTTAGGGGTAAACAGTTTTCCAGCTATGTAAAATATTTAAATGGAAGTTGAGGAAAAAATATCAAGTCAAATATTGAAATGACCTCACTTCTTATAGAAAATGCTTTACATGTGTATCATTTCATCTTAAGTTTGTGATCCTATATTGCTGAGCTGGTTGCTCATGTGAGAAGAGCTATTGCTATGCCATCTGAGTTTTGCTTTCTTCCGTGGTGTTTTTTCAAAAGGCAAAAATGGCATATCATAATTTCTCTTCAAAACTTCACTTTTAGAAATCTGGATTCATTTTGAGTGGCATTAATCACCTTCTCAGTTTCCTTTTTTTTACCCAAAATAACTGTGCGCTTGTTTTCTGCATGAAAGTTTTTAGCAGTCCATCGATGAGACCTCCTTATGCCATTTTTTTTCCTCTCTGCTTGTTAAACAGAGATGCAGAGGATTATCCAATGCCGTTGTTTTTTAAGCAGAGCTCTCCGATAGCTTAGCTGACCCAAAAGAATTAACCAAAACGGTCACTTTCTTGAATTCGGTATTTAATAGTGTGTGACTTCTGAGACAATAATGCTGTGGGTTTTTTGTTGTTTGTTTCTTTTTCTTTTTTTTCCCCTACCTCATTGACGTTAATTTGTTTGTAATAAGCTGAATGAGACCTGAGTTTACCCATACCATTTTCATTATTATTACTTGTTCTTGTTTACTGACTTAATTGCTGGAGTAAATCCTCTTCTTATTGTTATGCGAAAAGTACTAAGTGTGTGCATTACTGAAAAAGACAGTCCCAAACAGATTTTGTGTTTCAAGGGATATCACAGTGTATAGTTTTATAACTTTAGTTAGTTTCTTTATCTTAATTATATCATTTATTTCAAGTAGCTGAGCATCTCACCTTAGTGTTCTCAGCAACACTGAAAGTTTAGTCGCATTTTATCTCAAAAAAGGCTGTTCAAATTTACTGCACTGTAGTGGTCTTACAGCTTTTTCTAGAGATTTGTCCTCTTTTCATCAGCTGACACAGAGCATGTTATGTCATATAAGTGTAAAGTAAAACAGTGTTTCCTAAGCTACTATTTGAGTTTAAAATTCTCAGCATTTTTTGTTGTTGTTGTTTTTTCTTTTATCTACAGTCATTTTAATCTATATAGCAACACAGTTCTGTCTGTCTCAAATTACTCCTTAGTACTCATCTAAGGAAAAAAAAATTGATATGTATTTTTTTCAGATTTACTTTGCTGTAAGTTATATATTGAGGTTTTCTTTGGTCTACTTTTGCAAGTTAGACTGTGTTTCTCTGTTAGATCAGCTAATAGGAAACTACATGACAGCAATGATGGATTGAGAAGCGCCCTGGAAAACAGTTTCAGCAAGTATAACAGATCGTTGGTAAGTAATTATACTATATTTTAATTCTAATATTTTAATTGATTTATATATTAAGCAATATAATTTTTGAATCTCATATACAGTAATTATTAAAAAGCATAATATATTTATATTTTACTAGTAGGTTTTACAAGTTAATTCCTTGAAAGCAAGTATGTTTGTACTTCATACTCATTAGTTCATTTCAGTAAACTCATTCTGGGCTTATTCTAAGTAGTTGAGTTAGAGTTTGCATGTTAGAGTTTGTTTGGATTTTGCAAAATATCAGGGCTTACGTTAGAGCACAACTACTTTCTGAGGTGCTTTAGAAAATAGTAATTTTTATATGCTGTGGCCAAATGTATCTGATGACATAAGTAATGTGTTTCCTTTGCACTGAAGTGAATTTGCTTATTTTGTTTATTGGAAGTGCTCTACAAACTGAAAATACACTTTCTTAGGTAACTGCTGTCCTCTTAGCAAAGTCTCAATCTAATTTAAACTTCTACTAAGGGAGCTACTGAACAAAGGGAAGGCCAGGACACTGATAGTACAGAACTCAGATTATTTGTCACTATCTCCTTTGTACCAGGATCTATTTAACAGTTGTAGCTTACCGTTCTCCAAACCAGAGTGTGGAAGGATTGAAGACAATGAAAATGCCTATCTTTTTGTTTGCTATTTTTTCATACTAGAAAAGATTTTTAACTCCAAAACCAATTATCAAGCAAGGCTTGATCACCACAAGGCTTAGTCACCGCAAAACCAGCCAGTTGTTTCAGAAGGACAGAGCTGGAACAGTGGGTTGGCAGAGACAATATTGGCCAGAAAGGAGCAAACAGCAGTCATTCTCTTTCCAGCATACCTTGTTAGTGAATGAGGGTGCCTTTTTTCTGATACAGAGTTTCACTACAAATGATACAGCAAGAGATACTACTTCTTTTCTCTGTGCCCTGAAACATAAGGAAAGTTACCGAAGGTTACAGAAAAAAGGAGAAGCTGTTCTCTGAATGAATTTAAAGGAGGCAGGGCAAATGTATGAAAGACTTTGTCACGTGTTGTCAGTTGAGATCACTCTTCTCCACAATCCCACTGAAGAACCAGAAGATCTCTCTACGGTAGTCATTTTAGCCAGTGACATTTCCTTTTCTATCTTAGTCATCAATGTGTATGTGCTAGCTGTCTTTTAAAAAACACAAGGAAAATCATCTCACCTGATCAATAAACATTACTTCAAAGTTCATTATTTCATAGTGCTAGAGGAATAGTTATCGACATCACCCTCTTGGGAAATTCTACTTTTTTGTGATTGCCTGCGGGCATCAAATGTGGTAAAGCAGTGGTAAAGAGCCTGAGTGATCTGTATAATGTGCTACATGTAATGCAGTGTAATCCAATAGCATTTAAAGTAAGAGGTTTAATTAAAAGCAGGCAGTTGAATAAACGTGAAAATATACAATAGTAATTTTGAGGATTTACACTTTTATCATGACAAATGTGGATGTTTAAAGTGTTTTATCAAACCTGTCATGTATTTGTGATGTATCTTTTGCAGCGGCTAGCAAATACCTCACCAGGAAATACCATTTCTAGAAGCAGTCCCAAATGTAGTGGTGGACAGTCGCCTCTAAACCCACGGTATGACAGGTAGGTCAGTTTTGTTTTTTACTAATTTTAAAAAGAATTTAAAAAAGTGCAAATATCCTAGGAGACTAAATATTGTTAGATAACAGAATAATTCTGTTTGATTAAAAAAAACAAGTGCGTGATCCACAGCAGTTGGTCCAAGGTGAAATCAACAGGAATCTTTTGATGACTTCAGATAGTTCAGACCAACTCTTTTCAGTGCCAACTAATGATCTTGCACAGACTTCAACCAGTTTCAGGTTTCATCTTAGATTATTTTGATTTTCATTTGTTTATAAGTCTCCCTCCTCCACCATCTCCAAGGGCCAAAAGGATTCTGAGGACCCCTGTTAAGTAGTTTCCTCTGTACTTAGAAATAAGGTACTCTTTATTCATACTTTTAGCCTCTTTGTTTTCTTCCTATGTAATGATTTCCACAAAGGTATTTGGGCGTAATTCTTCAAATAAATAAAAATCATCATCTCCCTCTGCTGTGCAGGAGTGGTAGGTTGAGTAAGAGTCACAGAGATCAGAAAGTTGTATCAATGCAAATGCAAATGATCAGAGCTACTTTGGTTTTATCCTTGCTAGACTCAAGTAATTGATTAGAACTTCCTCAATTCATTACAAAGACTCGTTGACCTCAGTGAGTATTGGATTGTGCCTCAGATACTGTAGAACATCATTTTTATTTTATTTTTTAATGGCTGGTACTGCCAATAGAACTGTGTGTATTTACTCAACATATATTGTTTTATCTTATTCTTTCCTGTTACTTCAAACTCTACAGAGATTCTTAATAGAGTTCTTAGGTAGCTTCTGTTTTGTATTTTGCCAGTAGGAGGGATATTTTTTGTAGGGATTAAGTTGGCTTTCACCTCATGCTAATTATATCCAATAATCATTTGTAATCTTGGGAAGTCATCATCAGTAAGATAGATTATATAAATGAATTTGAACATGAACAGATATAATAAAAAGTCTCTTTAAGAGGGAAGGCAAAATTGGTTAGTGACATATGCCTTACAATATGTAGCTAGCATTTCTATGTATTGACCATTTCAGAATGGCTCAGATTTTATTGGTAAAAAGAATAGTAAAACATCTTTTTTTAAAATATTTCTTACTAGATCATCTCATTCATCTTGCGTGGATGAAGATTATGATTCTTTAGCTCTTTGTGACCCTATGCAAAGGATAAACTATGATGCTGACAGCTTACCTGAGAGCTGTTTTGACAGTGGTTTGTCTACCCTGAGAGATTCCAATGAATATGATTCAGAAGTGGAATACAGGCATCAAAGGATTGTTCAAAGATCACAGTGTATGCAAGACAGCTTTGTTGGTGATGCTTCTGATACTGATGTAAGTGCTAGACTTGTTGCATTTCTAAGAACAACTTTTTGGTTGGAGTCAAAATCAGCTTTCTTTTTTTAAAAAATGGAACAGATCTTTGCCCTAGGCATTTCGGCTATGTGTATTTCCATAAAATTGCTGATAATTTTTCTGTAGAATTTTACTCTTATAAAACTATAAAAAAAAACAAAATTGTTTTGATGGTTTGGTTAGAATTCAGTTGGTACTTTGCTTTCAAAATGCAGTTTGTATTTTTAAAAGTTTTTAAACAGCCTGAACAGAGAAGTCCATTTCCTAAATAAAAATGGAACTTTATAAAGCTTTGCCTTCCTGAATAAAAACTGCACAGTTCCTTTATATCTATATGATCTAAACCGTTAGAGAGAGAGATTTCATTCAGTCCTAGCTCTGTCTTTCAAAAAAACAAAACAAAACCCCATACTTTTCTCCCTGGAGCTGTAACATTGACTTGAACTTTCAGGTTCCAGAGATTAGAGATGAAGAAGCATATAGTCCTGACAACAGCAGTACTATATTAGACTGGAAGCCTTCACGACCAGTAAGTCGAAGCAGCTCCATTGCTTCTGCAAGGAAGTACATATCTGCTATTCCTCCTCAGGTAACCAGTTATTAAAAAGAAAAATAAAAATGCTCAGAACTATATTGTGAGATTTCTTAAATGAGTGAATCAGATAAATTCTTTTTATTTTTCAGTCAGATGCAAGAGAATGTACTCCAAAATACCCGACCTCAGAGAAGGCGTACAAGATAGTTCTTGCTGGAGATGCAGCAGTGGGGAAATCCAGCTTCCTTATGAGACTTTGCAAGAATGAATTTCGAGGCAATACCAGTGCAACCCTAGGTATGGTTGTTTTCTTCTTGAACTGCTGAAATCAGTTTTAATAGTATTCAGCAGCAGTGATGAGTGAAAAGAGCAAGCACGCTGATCCGCAGGGATTGTTTAGCTATAAACATGCCTCATGTAAGATCTCAGCCTGTAAGATCTAAATGACAACTAAAACCTACAAGTATATAACTACTAATTAGAGTGGAGGATACTACTTCATTTAGTTTCCCTGTATAGAGCACAAAACCTGCTTCTAAACAATACAAAGCCACAATAAAAGAAGTTTTACTGTGATGTTATAGAACCTGTTTAGAAAAGTTTTTTGCATTTTCTGTTGCCATCCTGTGTATTATTGTAACCATCAGCTAACATTGATTCTAAACACTGAATTTTCATCTCCTAGTGAAATGAGAGCTGTGTATATTTATTTTATTTCTTTTGAGTCAGGTTTTTTGTTCCTTTTTTTTTTTATCTTTGATATTTGAGATAAAATGTTTCATAAAGTAGACTTCATGTTTTTCCATAAAACTATTTGGTAAAATAAAGCAAGTAGGAATCTTCCTGTTTCCTTGTCATAGTGCCAAATTTGTTTCAGTGCCTCTGGGAAAAACATGTAGGCAAAATATTCCTTTAAATGTTTTTCCTTTAAAATCAAATAGAATGTTAGTTCCCATATTCAGAGAATTACTGTAGTTCGGGGTTATGGGAACTATTGAAATCTCACAGTTTATTAAAAAAGATATAATTTGAAATAAATAGCAATTGTGCCCTTTTGTATGGAACATTACTCTTCATTTTCTGTGTATCTGTAAATATTATTGATGTTTTTAACATTAATATTGACTAGGTTGTATACATTCTTTCAGGTGTAGATTTTCAAATGAAAAGATTAGTTGTGGATGGAGAACCTACAGTACTACAACTGTGGGACACAGCTGGGCAAGAGAGGTTAGTGATTCTTTGCAATTTCAGTAATTTCCGTTGTTTTGTCTCTAAAGGCCTTTTTTCATCTACATGCAAAAAAACCCAAAAATATTATATGCTTTTGTTGTAAGTAGGTCAATATTGGCCATGTGCGTCTGTATACAGATGTGATTTTGTTCTACTGTGACAGAGTCAGGTGGAGTGCTTCACTGTGGTGAGGCATAAGCCTACTTTTTATCTACGCACAGAGTACTAGTTAAAAGTCAACTCAGCATTAATTAGTTACATCCACGTTTCCCTTAGGACAAGAAGAAATGGCCTCAAGTTGTGCCGGGGAAGATTCAGGTTAGACATTAGGAAGAACTTCTACACAGAAGAGGTGAAGCACTGAATAGGCTGCCCAGAGAAGTGGTGGAGTCACCGACCCTTGCGGCGTTCAAGGAATGTGTAGATGAGGCACTTAGGGACATGGTTTAGCAGGCAGGGTGTTGAGGGTCTTACGGTTGGACTCGATGATCTTGAAGGTCTTTTCCAATCATAATGATTCTATGATTCCCACTCTTACATTAATATGATAAGACATTGTAGGAGTATTTTATTTTTTCTGTTGCTTTCTTTGTCCTTATTGACCTGCATTTCTGAGCTTGCTCCATCTTAGAGATTTTCATGACCACTTCCCTTGAAATCCTTGATCCCAATTCTCATTGTATTCAGTGAATGAAGTATCTTCTGTCTTCCTGTAAAGACTCTGGAGAGTTATGTAACAGAATTGAATTTAATATATGTCAAGGTTCTTCAAATTACTGTGCTGGATTTCCGCAAAATCCTATGACATCCTTACCGGTGAAGAACTATTACTTCTTTATAGAAGTGGTGCCATTGGTACTTAAGAGCTTACCCTGACACTGGGAAAGTCAGTTTAATTTGTCAACAGGTTACAATCTGTACTGGATCATGTATTTTTACTTTTGTCAAAGTGAGTGCATTATGTGAAGTAGATAGAGACCTAATTACACTCCTGCTACATGATAAGTATGTGAAGAGTATTTCTTAAGTAACGGAAACGCCTACTTGTCATTCTTCATTTATGCTGATGGAAATGACAACACTTTATAACTTGGTAACAGTTTATCTGTAGATTATTTTTTTTAGTTTAGTAGTCAAACTTAAAAAGTTTGATCAGTAATTAGGATAGAATCCTATGGATTTTTATAGAGCATTTGTAGATTTGTTTAAGTAATTTTCAAAAACTTTTCTAAGAATTCAGCTGTGATAAAACACAGAAGGTGGGTGGGACAAATCTATTTAGTATTGTAACCAAGTATTGCTATGTTGTTAATGGTGTGAAAGTATGTGATGTATTGAGAACAAGGCCTCCAGTATAATGAACCAAAGACATTTTATGTAGCATCAGATAAAGCTTATATATCGTACTGTCCCGGATACAATACCATATTTGCCTACAGGCGTGCAAAACACAATTACTAAATAAGCCAATAATGTAAGGGAGAGCATAGAATCATAGAATCCTTAAGGTTGGAAGGGATCTCTAGAGGTCATCTAGTCCAACCCCCCTGCACACGCAGGGTCACCTAGAGCACGTGGCACAGGACTGCGTCCAAGCGGGTTTGGAAGATCTCCAGAGAAGGAGACTCCACAACCTCTCTGGGCAGCCTGTTCCAGTGCTCTGTCACCCTCACTGGTAAGAAATTTTTCGTTAAGTTCCAGTGGAACTTTTGATGCTTTAGTTTTCTGGCCATTTCCTCTAGTTCTGTCGGTGGCTACCAGTGAAGAGAGGCCAGCACCATCCTGCTCACTGCCTCGTTTGGGGTACTTATAGACACTGATTAGATCCCCTCTCAGGCTTCTCTTCTCCAGGCCGAACAGGCCCAGCTCCCTCAGCCTCTCCTCATAGGGCAGATGTTCCAGGCCCCTGATCATCCTTGTGGCCCGGCGCTGGACTCTCTCCAGCAGCTCCACATCCCTACGCTCTTCTTAACGCACCCCAGGATCCCATTGGCCTTCTTGGCCACGAGGGCACACTGCTGCCTCATGGTCAACTTGTCGTCCACCATGACACCCAGGTCCCTGTCTGCATCAAGACTATACAGTTGCTTTTGCTCCTTGTTTGCTGATAGAACACCTGCACTGCTGTCCTTGATGTTCGTTATCTATTAACGAGGCATCCTGTACTACTGTCCTTGAAGCAGGCCTCCACAAAAGTAGATTTTTTTTGTAAATGACTTAAGTCTTTTTTTTTTTTCTAAAAAGATTTCGAAGTATTGCTAAATCATACTTTAGAAGAGCAGATGGTGTCTTACTGTTATATGATGTAACATGTGAAAGAAGCTTTCTTAATGTACGAGAATGGGTGGACATGATCGAGGTAAGAATCTTAAAGTACAATTTGGAAGCTGTGTTTCACTGCATTGTTACCTTATTATTTAAAGTACAGAAGTGAGTATTTCCACTGAGAATATCATTTTTTGGTTCAGAATTCCAGAGTCTTTTTTTAGAAAAACTGGCTTGATTTACAGAGCCTGGGTAGCTTTAAATTAGCTTATCCAAAATGGAAAGTCTAATGGAAGTATAAGCCAAATGGAGTTTCCTGGGGTATTAAACTGAATCCTGACAATTGAGTCAGTCACAAAACTGGTGCACTGTGATGTATTGCATAAAATAGTACCATGTCATCACAGTTTCCAAAAACTTCCTTTAGAAATGAATTTGAGTCCTAGTCCATTTCAAATATCCCTTCTGGTGTCTGCAGTATTCCTTGTTTGCTCTGCCTGTTAAACCAGTATCTTTTATTCTGTAAGTTAGCTATAGTCCAAGTGAAATTTTCTTTTTTTCTTCTTTTTTTTTTTTTGCTATTATATCAACCGTATCTATTATATTTTCTTTGTTTCTTTGAACGGGTTTAAAGAAAAAGGTTTTCTTCCTATTCTACCTGTATCAGGTGCATTTAATAGGAAGAAAAGTGATTAGCGAGAACTTAATTTCCCCTTCTGAAAGTTTTTTTTTAATATAACAGTAGCAGAATTAATCTCTCTTCCTGTTTTTAATTAGTCACATAGCATTTAAATACAGTGACTATTTCCATCAGGATAATTGGACGCATGACATTTCTTGTTAACTGTGAGGGCTTATGAGAATACACACACACCTTTGCCAATTCATGTTTCAGCTGGTTTTTAAATTATGGACTTTATAATGAAAAAGTAGCAAAATGATTAAAAAACTTTTTTTTGGTATGATTATTTGCTTGTGTTAGGTGACAATGTTAGTGATATTTTTGTATTCTGAGCGTTCTTGCAATAAGGAAATAAAATATACGTTATAGGATGCAACCCATGAGAATATTCCAATCATGATGGTGGGAAACAAAGCAGATCTCCGTCAAGCAGTTACAGAGCAAGGACAAAAATGTGTGCCTATAAACTGTGGAGAAAAACTGGCCATGGTAAGTTCTATGTTTACTTTTTCAGTATAAAATGTGCCAGGGAGCTTTAAAATGAAAACTACATGAAATGCTAGTAAACAAAAGTCATTTTCTGATCAAAATTTAATCAGTACTGGATATTTTTCATCCAAGTTACTGTTGACTGTGTGTTCTGACTGAAATCTCACTCAGTCTCCACTGACTTGACCTTCATTACTATTGACTGGCCTGTTTTTCACAGTCTTTATGGTCAAAAAAAGATGTGTGGACTGGGAGAGTGGGAAAAATTGTCAAAACGAGTATGAGGCTCTCCATCTAACCTGTTCCTGTCCTGCTTGAGTGACATATTTTCGTCTTCAAGACACCTTTGTTCCTGCATGTCTGCAGAAAAACACAGGGATGGGGAAATAATTATCTGCTATAAATAAAAGCATGGATATGTTTTTTTCAATATTTCTATCATGTGTGAAGGAAAGAGTCCTGTGTCCTGTATTTTGCAGGACAGGTGGACAATAAAGTACGGAGTACTGGGACAATAGAGTATGGAATCGATGTACAATCAGATGATTGCATGAGGGCAGGTACCATTATGTACAGACTAGTATTTCTGGTTAAGCTAGAATACCACTTGATAGGGTGAAGATGTGACTTCAGTAAACTGTCCCAGTAGCTCTTTTCTCTTTCGCAGTCTGGGGAGCAAGAGGATTTAAGGTGAGACTATAATTTGTTTCTAATTCAGTTTGTTAACCAAAATATCCTGAGCTTAGGAAAACATAATAATAAAATTAAATATTTTTTTCCAATATTAAAGTGATTGTAGTAGAGAATAAAGAATACCAATATGAATCAAACTCATTTAAGTGGGTGTGAAATAATTATCTAGAGTTATGGAAGGAACCATTTGTAAGTTAAAATATCTAGATAAAACCATATAGGCTACTCTTAACATTTTATTTTCTATTTGCAGACTTACAATGCACTATTTTGTGAAACAAGTGCTAAAGATGGTTCTAATATTGTAGAAGCAGTTCTTCATCTTGCTCGGTAAGCAGCTGTGTTTCTATTTTCAAATAAACTTGTCTGCTTATGTTTTACAAAATGTGCATTTTGTACACACACATTTGTACATGCATTTTGTACATGCACACACAAAGACTGCTATCTTAGTAGTCGTATTATTTTTCTATCTCTACTACCATAATAGTGGACCTTAGTTATGCAACTCACACTCTGGGTGTCCTGGGTGTCCCTGCTGGAACAGGGGGGTTGGACTGGATGATCTCTAAAGGTCCCTTCCAACCTCAACCATTCTGGCATTCTTTGTTTTTTTTTTTTTTTTTCTTTTTGAATGACTGGTTTCCAGGAAACTGGCTATGAATGCAGCAGTAGATTGTGAAGTTGAAGAAGTATATTGTACAGTAAGGTAACATTAATCACAGTGGTAAAATGACCCTTTATGTTTAAAATTCGTAAATTTATTTGTGTCAAGGATCAAACTTTTTCCATTTGGAGCCTCTCTGTTTTTCAGAATCTTAAAAACAAGATTGTAAGAGTTTACCTCACTAACTTCGGCAGTCCCCAAATACCATAGACCCTACCCGTATACTTTGTTCTGAAGTGATCGGCTGTGATACCTTTACGCAAAACTTAGTAACTTTTGTTTATGATCTAACATTTTTGATTTTTAAACTTTCTACAGGAACATTTCATTACAGCAGACTGACTTCTAGACTGACCAATTTCCTCTTTTTATGATTCCTTTTTGACACAGTTACTATGATGAGTAGTATTGTCTTTTGAGAGAAATAGCACGAATTTATTCTACTGATATAAGGCTGACTTAATAGCACTATAAGCAGGAAATTTTAGAGCGAGCTCTTGACATTCTAGGATGCTCATAATAGGAATACAAGATCAATAATCACATGTACCTATACAACTTTTCAAGCCAATGTTTGTAACAGAACATCTAACAATGTGTTGTAAAGGTAAATATGTACTAGGAACTGCATATTATTATTTAGTTTTATAATATCAGCTGTGAACATATTCAGTTTCTGTTGTGATAGTAACAGGTAACAAATTAAAGAAAAAATGAGCAAAAGGAAAGAGAGCACATGGCACTGGTTATCAGGTATCAAAAGTTATTATATTTCTGTCCCTAAAAGTATTTTGTTTATAATAATGATGCTATTTCCAAAGTAGATATTTAGACAGATTTCATCCCATGATTGAGATATGCTGAAAATTTTGTTTATTTATATTCATGTAAATTTATTTGTATGCTGCTTTACAGAAAGTTTATGAATTGAACTTGAAAAGTAATAATGATAGTGTGCAGTATAAGATATGCTGAGAGAAATAAAATAGTGGACATAAACAGAAGTAATTTTATTGAGCTTTGTCCCTGTTTATTTGTTTATTTATTTACAGAGAAGTGAGAAAACGAAGTGACAATGAGGATGATACGAGGTCAGTAACCAGCCTGGCTGGGACGCCTGTCAAAAAGTCGGCGCTCATGAAGAACTGCTGCAATGTTTGAATGACAGATTTTGCTGATCTAAATAATTTACTTGCATATTTTTGCTATTCTTTAAAAAAGGAAAAATGAAGGATTTCCAAACACATTCTTTCTACTGTGGACTTGCACATTTTTATATTTAGAGGCTGTGCATCATGGAAAAATAGCTTCTCCTTTCTACTTATTCACATTTTTGCACTTTCTTTGTCCTTTAGGCCCTGGTATCATGTTTTGTAAGTAATTTAAGTGAATGAAATGACCTCAGAATCAATGCTGCAATACTCCGTATGTACAATACTGTAATACATTTTTCTTCCTTTACCTGCTTGTTTCTTCATGACATTAATATTTCCTGTGTAAAAAATATACTATGGTAATGTCACTTATCACTCATAGGCAAAGAAATTCCAGCCTTAATCAGTTTAATCTTTTTTTTTTTTTTGCTCTTGTCTGTTTATGTAGCCTTTTGAAGGCCTTAAGTTATTCCTTAATGAAACATTTCCTAGCAAAACTCCAAACTACTAAAAGGTCTTCTAATTTCAAGTAAAACCTAAATTGAGAGGAGTAGGCGGAATGGGCTTTTAAATCTGCAGATAAAAGAATTGCTGCACATACACAATCATCTGTATCAGCTGTTCATTAGAAGAAATCCCTAGAATGAACAGGAACTGCTTATCTTAGTAAGAACAATGTTGGCTGATTTTAAGAAAATATTGATAAGCTCATTAGTGAGTGGTAGGTCTAGGTGCCCAGCATCTCCAAAATGTAAGATGTTATTGCTTACAGAAGTTCTCAGAAGTCCTATGTTTTAGTATAATTTGTATGTATTTCTGCAATCAGCAAACATCTTTCATTCTCGGCTTTCAGTGATTTTAATTGGAATAAGAAAGGAATCACTCCAGACCTATCTATTTCTGTCTTTTCTGTGTATATTAAAAAACATCCCTAAGGTGAAAACATCTCCATGGTTTATTAAACCAGCCTTGGATAAAGTTTCCCAGACTGATAGGAAAAACATAAAACTAGAAGCTGTTGCAGTATTTTATCAATGCTATATCTGCTTTATCAATGCTATATATTATGGCTTAAAGAAAAAAAAAAGTTTTATACGGATTTTATAGAATGCAGAGTTCTCAGAAACAAGATAGTTCATCAAATTTAATAAAATATTACCTTGAAGTACAGAAAGCAATATCTTAGGTGTCCTTTCAAACCTCTTGTCTGGAGCAGCTGGTCCTTAAGCAGTTAACAGAAAGCATACTCTGAATTAGACACAGGAAAATGTAATGCCAGATGAAATAAGATATTATTTCAATTTTTCTTCTTGTAAGGAGAAAACATATCGTCTTCAAAGTACTGAGGCAGTTTTCACATGTAGACCTGCCTGACTCCACAGGGAGTTGTCTCAGGGTTGCAACATTTTCCAGCCCAGCACTGCAGAAGCCTCACTGCAGTCTTGAGACTTTTCTGGAGTAACTCACAGAGATTGAAAGAAAAGATTGAAAGAAAGGTGCACTAAGATAGTAGTGGAAGGTCAGATACATTGTTTCCTGAAGATAAGACTGCACTTAGTGGAGCGCATTGAGGGCCTCTTGTGTGTTATTGTGTGTTTAAAAAACAAAACAAAACCACCACCACCAACAAAAAACCCTATCATTACTCATTCCACAAAAGAATGAAATGGCAGTAGAATATACATGGGTTATATTTCCAGGTGTCCTCTCCTCCAGTATAAGAGAGGGAGGCAGACAATCCTGTTTGTTTCTGAAGTGTAAGTTCAAGACCTGCAGGCCTTAAAGAGTGTCTTCCCAACACCAAAGGCTCATAATTATAAGCCGTTCCTTTCATTCTGAAGTGATGTTCTTTCAGTGTTATTAATTTTCGTTAACTTCCAAAGTTTAGGCTGGGGCTCAATATTCTGCTGTGCGACAGCTGAACCACAGCATTTGACAGCATCTGTGGCCTTGGGCTGCTGTAAATGAGGTGAAATGTGTTTCCATAGACCTTGTGGACACACTCACATAAAGTTGTTTGGAAAGATTTCTGGAAGTGGTTTTGTCCCATTTCCCGCTCAAAATTGCACTGTTGCCAGCTCTAGATCAGGTCAACAGAGAAGTTACTGAAATGTCCAAATGCAGTGATCCTGCCACCTCTTTGGATAGTCTTCTCCCATATTTGTGCTCACATATTTCCTTTGGTCGAAAACTTTTCCAATGATTTTCCCAAGTCACATTTTAGCCATTTCCCCATTATGCTGTCTGCTGCTACCAACAGGAGTTTGGCTGTGTCCTTTGCAGTTTCCGTTTGAGTAGATGTAGGTTATTGGGTCACCACCTACAGCCTGCTTTTACCATGGTAAAATGTGTGAGATGTTGCTTTCAAATACAAGTTCCAGATCCATACAGTCAGCAGTGCGTGTGTATGTGCAGTTACTGCTTTCTAAGTTTCTTACCCTGCAGAAAATGCCGTGTTAGTGTCCATGGCCATAGAGAACCTAGTTGAAGGAAGTAATTTCAGGGATCTACCTTCTCATCTATTTTTCTCTCTGTAGGACTATGCCATGGATATTTTGGCTTCTCATTTATTTTATTGTCCAAAATCACTCTTATGTTACTTGGCAAAATTTTATAAACAAGCTGCTTTTAAGCTATGTAATTTTTGTGTCAGATAAAGCAAATTTATTTTGAAACAGTAGGCTCTTTTTTTTTTTCAATAGGACTCAGTGTTGGAAACTATAACCTTTCAGTTTAATGGTCAACGTTACTAGAAAAAGCATTATTGAACTGAAATGCAGCTATTGCTTAGCTGGTGCTATTTCTAGAAATCCTGCAGTTATCAACTGCATCAAGTCTGAACATTCCCTTAATATTTTATAGAATTCATGGTAAAGTGAGAGAACTTGGAATGAAATTATTGTTTATATTTAGAAGTGGAAGCATCTATTTGTACACAAAAATAATGAATTACGTAAGGCTTTTATCTGTTTGGCTTTGCAAAGTTATCTTGCCTTCTAACATCAGGTTTATGTTCTGCCATGGCTGTACTACTGTGCTCCTTTGTTTTTCTGATTTTGTTTAGTATTTAAGAACTGTTCACTTAACTGCACAAAGTTGTCTTGTTAACTAGTGGATGTGTTCCCTTAATACATATATTTATTCTAAAAGGAAGAGCCTTTTATGTTTTTCCTGGCAATTTGTAAATAAGATTATTTTTATTCAGTTGACATGGAAGTATTATTTTTTTCCTGTATAGTTTTTTTTACCCTTTTGGTTGTGGCAAGGTGCACACTTTTGAGGCAAAGATTTCTGTGAGATATGCCAAAAACATTTCGATCACCATATTCTTATGCCTATTCAACATACATTAGTGGCTTAGTAAGATGTGCTGGTACTTCTCTTACTTAATTGTTTCTAGAGGTACAGTTATGACTCAAGATGGTTTCAGTGTAACTGTTCTTGTATCACCTATAAAATTATGTGAGCATAAATATTCATATTAGCAAAAATAAATCACAATTTTATGTCTGTATGGTTTGTTAAAATGTTTTTCAGGCAATGTATCTATGGCCACTCCTGCAAGGAGCCCTGGGAGGACGTGCACCCAGGCAGGTTGCCGTTATTCCGTGGCATCGCGGTGCGGCTCTAACAGAGCAGTCTGTGCACGCACGGGTCCTGGTGCAGAGGTTTTCTTGTTCCGCAGGCTGCTGCTTGCAATAAGACCAGGCAACTTTTTTAGAGGAAGAAGTGGAATATAGGTAATCCAGCAGAAAGGAGGATTCATATTCATATAGTCAAGGTACCTTCTCTGACCCTGTCCAGGCTACTCATAGATTGTAGTAATATTTAACAGCAGAGATTTCAGTATTTCTCTCCCACTCTATTAGTGATCAGGACTAAACCTTTCTTATTGGTATCCCTAGGCCTGAAGGCCTTCCAGTTCCACATATCTCACGTAGTAAGAAAATGCTTATTACGGTCAAAGGAAATTCAACACAGCCATGTGGAATGTAGGTTCCAATGTTTTACACAGTTTGTTAGAAATATGTCCTTTTTTACAGTTTCAGCCCTTTGAGTTATAATTATAGATAGCTGCGCATAACTGAAATCAGTCATTAGGTGGCCGAGTGACAAATAAACTCTGGCAGTGCAAGTTTCCTAGTGAGTATAAAGCAAAGTATTTTTAAAAAATGATATTTTCATACTTGTACAGGGAACAAATACAGTGAACATTGGTTGTCTGTGCCAACTTCTACTAAAGACTGTATAATATATAAGTAACCAAGTTTTAAAGTGCAAAAACATTTGAAATTTGATTTGTATGTTTACAAATAGAACTGTGGTGTTCATGCAGTTTGTTCTTCCTCAAAGCTACAGATCACTGCATTCTCTGTAATTTTGTACATAGACATGTTTTAAAAGAACTACCCATTCTCCATATTGCAAATTGCTGTAAAATAAAATATGCTTTAATAGCCATTTAGCATGGTGCATTCCTTTTTATCACTGGTCTGTGGCAGCAGCCCAGCTGCACATCTGTGACCTGCCACACTCCTAAGTTTGTGGTTCACCCATACCTGCGGCCAGCAGCACCCAAGGGCGATGCAGCTATCATGTCACGGAATGAGTGGTGGTGGGGGTGAGTGACACATTACACTTTACTCGTGGGAAAGAAACAGGAATAGGTGTTATTGATAATGACAATGGTTTCATGAGATTCTATGGCAAGGTCACTTATTTACTGCATGGAGGTTCGAAATACACACAGAATTACCACAGACACCCTCTTGTTGGGTTGCGAGGTTCAGATTGGATCCTCTTGCTTTCCAAAGTCCCTCTGAGAGGAGTCTGGGTGTGGCTGGATCCAATCCTAGTCCCAGGCCTGGTCAACAGTTTATGAGTATTGGATTAGTGCACAGTTACAAAGTAAAGTTTACAAGTTCACAAAGAGAGCACACTAGAGTCACCTACCACGAATCTGTAGGATCTCTCAACCCCGAGGATTATCCTTGAGAGGCATCCCTGCTCA